CTCGTACCTCCGCCTCGCCTCCGCCATGGAGGTCGTCGAAGCGGGAATCGGGTTGTATTTCTTCTGCCCCCCCCCCCCCTCACACGTGGCATGATGGATGGGGCCGAGCCTGGCCGTCAGCCCCGCCTATTATGTCGTTAATTGGCCAGTTCGCGGAGTGCAAGACGGCCTCTCACCACCCTCGCCAGAAATTTTATCCTCTCTCTCTCTCTCTCTCTCTCTCTCTCTCTCTCTCTCTCTCTCTCTCTCTCTCTCTCTGCCCGTCAATAAAACAGCTTATAAACTGGAAAAAACTCTTTCTCTCGCGATGAACTCCCCTCCGTCTTTTTGCTTCGGTCGAATAAGGTGGTGTTGTGGTCGAATGAGGAAGTTGCGCGTTCCGACCGGCCTGTATGATGTGAACTTTTTAAATGAAGTGTGTGTGTGTGTGTGTGGAGAGAGAGAGAGAGAGAGAGAGAGAGAGAGAGAGAGAGAGAGAGAGAGAGAGAGAGTAACATGAGAGAGCTGCCTCCGAAGGGATAATTAGAAACAGGCTTCGGAACAAAGGCCTCTCCATGATGCCCGTCGTTTAATGCAAGGTTTCGTGCAAGTGGAATGAAAAACGATCAAAATATTTTATGCTTCAACAAAATGGTGGATCTTCCATCAGAGGAGGCACTTTGGGTGGGTATTTTGCGGCTCTAGCGCACTGAGATCGGCTCACGGCTTCAAATGCCCGCCCAGGCCAGCCCGGCTGGACAAATTTACCCATCCAATGCCGGCGCGTTTGGTCTTGCCAACCGTCTGCTGGCGAGCCGGCCAGAGCCAGCCAAGGTGCTGGGGCCAATCAGAGCGCAGTACGGATCAACGGCTGTGGTTCGGCGGCAAAGGTGTCGCAGTTCTGAGCTCCCGACCGAGCCCACCTCGCACCGCTATTTCTTTTGGGTATTCGGAGTTTCACTCGCCCAATGCCTCTCACTGCCTCTCACTGTACTGAAAACGGGAAGTGGAATCCACTCTCGGCAGGCCTGCTAAAGGCATATTGCTTCTAGACCGAGCCGCTGAGTATAGAATTTCGCTCACTGTCCAAGCTCGTGTACACCCGTGTTTATCGTGTGGCCCTGCTTCCTTGGAGGGTACGCGCAAGCATGCTCGCAGGTTCCGTCCAGGACTTGATTGAATCTCGAGACGACGACCGGGAATATAAAAATGGGTAAAGGAACGCGCTCACCTGTGGAATTGCTGCTGGGCTGCCCGGAACCTGGGGAACCCTTCGGCTGTTTCCTTTTCATCTGTTCGATTCGAGTGTTCGAATCGAACGTTCGAATCGAACGTGCGCAGCGACCAGGGCGCGGCGTGCGGCTACACGCTGAATAACTCCCTTTCAGCGTGCTCTCTGTCCCGGACAAAAGCGGTGCACTTCTTTATTTTCCCCTCATCGTCCCAGTGAACGACGATTGGACGGCACGAGGAAAAGAACACCGAGCAAATAATAGGACATTCTGCGCCTCGAATCCTGGAATATGACGCCACGGGTTCGTTTGAATGTGATGGCACGTTCGTTTTAACGGGGATCGGTTCAATCATTGCTGCGCCTTCAAGGGTGCGACGTGGCGTTCAAATCAATGTGACATCATTTCAACGAATGATGTCAATTCCTGGACTCTCCACACAGGCTCTGATAAATGTCATGTAGAAACAAATTTCAAAGTAATGGCGAATCCAGATGTGCCCACGGTGAAAACGGTTGCTGTTTTTCCCGGGAAACCTATAGTAAAAAGCAGGTGATTTCGAAGGAGTTCCTGGGAAATCCAGGATCCGTTTCTGCCGCACCACACTTATGCAATGACCAAATAGTGCAACAACCCGACAATCTCCGTGACAAAAATCACATTCTCGCACATTCTAACGAATGTAATGTCACATTCGTCGAATAACAGTGCAGGCCACGCACGGGCGGCGCGGCCGCCAGGCGAGCCCCTTCTTGAAACAAGTGTCATCTCCCCGGGGGTGTGGCTGAGTGTCCAGCCGGAGGGGTGGATTTTCTTGGCAGCAGCTGGACCTGGCCCCTTGTGTAAGACAAGCCCGCCGCCCCATACATCGTCTCGGCCGAGTTCACCCACCCCATCCACCCCATCCATCCAGTCGATACTTTGCGAAATTATTTTCCGATATTCGCGCCCCGAGTTGGCGGCCCTGAGACGCCTCCACGACGTCATTTCTGAGGGCGGCTACACTGGCTGCAGGTAGCGCGCCATTCCCCACCCTGATTGAAATATTCTCTCCGAGTGCCGCGCCGTGCCGTGGGCCAGAAGACCGGTGGAGGCGGCCGAAACTCCAGACGCGTTTTGAGCTCCTGAGTCGCTAAACAGGACTGGAATCGAACGTGTGACCCCACCAATGGATTGCTCTCCGATCGAGGAATCCATTGATGGGGTCACACGCTAGGTTCGAAGCCCGTTTAGCGACTCTGGAGCTCAAAACGCGTCTCGAATTTCGGCGCCTGCACCGGTCTTCTGGCCCACTGTGCCTCCGGCTGCCCCAAGGCTGCCCGGCCGGCGAGGTGGAAGCAAGACGCCGCTAATTGAGTGCGCCCTTCCCCTTTCTGCGCCGCTGCACCGCCGACCGACCCGCCTCTCGCCGATTCTTATTGCGTAATCAAATTAAAATTGTTCACTCCGGCCGCACGGGGATCGCGCATCGCAATGGGTGCGAGAGAGACAGCGCACCAAGGTCGCCCACGTGCGGAACGAGGAGAAACAAAACGCGCTGGCGTTGCCGTTCCCGCCAAATCCGCTCGCCGTCCGCGCCGCGCGGCTCGCAGTGTAATTCCTGTAACCCTCTTTCCTTTTTCCCGATCGCGGAAATCATCCGCGCCGCGATGAAAATGTTTCGAGAGCGGCTCGTTGTCCTTCTGCGTGTTTGTTTAGCGGAGCAGCTTTATCCTGCCTCCCCTCCCTCCCTTCTCTCCCCCTCCCCTCCGTCCCTCTCCCTTGGCCCCCTCCCCTTCCGTCCCGCGCGTCCCGCCCCTGTCGCTTCCTTTCTCCTTCTAATTTGAAGCGTGATCTCCGTCCGCATGGATAGGCAGCCGCCTAGCGCTCGGTCAGCAACCCTTCCTCGCCCCTCCCCCTCCCCTCCCTCTTAGCGGTTTTCCCCCTCCCCCTTCCCTGTCCCAATTCATCTGGACCCAAACTCTTGCCGTACTTTGGGCGGCCTTAGGGGACGGCACAGTAATGACGATGACAAACTTGATTCAGCCCTTGTCTCGTCGACGGAGGCCCCTCTGTGTGTGTGTGTGCGTGTGTGTGCGCGCCTGTGTGTGTGCGTGTGTGTGTGTGTGTGTGTGTGTGTGTGTGTGTGTGTGTGCGTGCTGGCCCGACGGACGGCCACCCCGTAGTCCGGAGCGCCCTTGTTGTGACAGCGTAGTGGTCCCATAATCTCGTGCCGATTAGTCCTTTAACACAGCTCGTATTAGCACCGGATGATCCCCACTCGGGGCGCTCTATTCCGGTTCCCGCCTCTCTCTCTCTCTCTCTCTCTCTCTCTCTCTCTCTCTCTCTCTCTCTCTCTCTCTCTCTCTCTCTCTCTCTCTCTCTCTCTCGGCCCCGCCCTCCAACTTCCTGGATGCTGATGGCTGACTGGCAAAGAGGCTTAGTGGCCGAGGGCGCGGAGGGTCCGACGTGGCGGAGGGAGGCAATCAGGCAATCCGGTTTTCGTTTCTAATTGAAAAGGCAGCGTCATCGGTGGCATCGGCAGAAAGTGAGGGTCGCTTCTTAGGGAAACAACTTGAATTATTTTGGTGTACTTTTTAACTGATATTAACGGCGATGAATTCACACATGAATTTTCGTCAAATTTCGATGAATCTCAGTCAGAATTCGATGAATCTCCGTCAAAATTCGATAAATTTCAGTAAAAATTTGATGAATTTTAGTCGAAATTCGATGAATTTCAGTCAAAATTCGATGAATCTCAGTCAAAATTCCATTTATTTCAGTCGAAATCCGATGAGATTAGTCGAATTAAATTTTGATGAATATCAGTCAAATTTCGATGAGTTTTAATGTATTTCAGTAAATTTTACAAGTTTGATGAATTTTGTTGTACAGATTTGGCTCGAGTTATATCCCCTTGGTCGGGGCGGCGGCGTGGCCACCACGTCCGGGGGCACCGCGTCGTCGCCGCGTCGTCGCCGCGACGCCGCGGCCTCGGGGGACGGCGCCGTTGCAGCTCCGCCGCCTCTCGCGTCTTTTGATCCGTTGCCGTGAATATATAGGGGCGGCGCGGGCAGCGAGCTCGCCGCCGACAAAGGGGTTGGCCTCCGGGGGCGTGGCGGCCGACGGCCAGGTGCACGGACGGCCCGGCGGACGCGACGTGGACGCGAACGTGACCCCCCGGCGAGGCCGCCAGCGCCGCCTGCACGCCCGCGTCCAGTTCGGGCTGCTAACTCAGTTGCGACTTTGGCGGTGACCTCGGGGGCTCCGAAGTGCGGCGTCGCCACGGCGCCCCGCCCCGCCCCTCGAGGCCACCGAGATGCACTCAGGAGGCGAGGCCAGCGGCGACGGGGTCCTCAAGGCGCCTCAAGGCCGGCTCGGCCCGCGGGGCGTAGCGGGGCGGGGCCTCCGGGGGGTTGCCGACGGAGCCCAGCAGTAATTGAACTCCCAAATCAGAGCAACTTGGTGCGACCGAAGCGGACCGGCCGGCCAGCCAAACCAACCACTTTACTCCAGGCTGATGCCGAGAGATCGTTTCGGCGGGCTCTCTCTCTCTCGCACCCCGCCGGGACGCTCCACGAGTGCGAGAGAGAGACAGACACCTCCAGCTCGGAATGAGTCTGCGGGTGACCGCGGTCCGCCAAATCTCACGCAAAGCGATCGATCGAGGAGGCCAAGTTCGGCCCGTTACTGGCCGCCCGTTGCGCGACGGGGCCTCGGACGGGGCCACTGTCAGCCCGCGTAATACTGTTGTTGATGATGTTCAGACGTTGTTGTTGTTAAAATATCCCGTTTTTTGTGTTACAGTGGTGGACTGCCGCATGTCGGCATGGGGCCCCTGGTCGGACTGCGACGCGGAGTGCGGCGCGGGCCGCATGACTCGGTCCCGGACCGTGGAGAGGCCCCCCATCAACGGCGGCAAGCACTGCTCCGCCCTGGTGCAGAAGCGCGCCTGCATGGGGCAGCGCTGCCCGCGCGACCAGCGCCAGGCCGCGCTCAGAGGTCAGTACGCTCTTTTGTTTCCCTCACACACACACACATAATCACACACACACACACATAATCACACACACACACAAAAGTGCAGTGTAAGAAAAGCACGTTTATGGTGAGTTCCCTCGTCCATTTAATTCGACTAATAAAAATCTGAAAGCGAAATGCCTGGCAAATGGTTGTAGACATCACTGCAGTGGGGCACATGGGTGTGTACTTTACTTGCCCTGGGCTATTCTTCCTCAACTTACCCTCACATCTACGCTTGTAATCAAGCATGCATAGGCAGGAAATGCCCGGAAATGCCCCCATGCATCTGAATAGACGCACGCGAGAGGAGGACTACCCCTTACGCCAACCGTATACCAAACAACGCGCTTTGCGGAGAAAGGCGTTGTAAAAGTGCGCTGCAGATCTACCAGTGGAGTGGCGGCGTGTTCTCGCGCACAAAAATTCAATTCAACCGCAACGAGACGAGTTGGCGTGCAAACGCGCGGTGGAATGTGGTATGAATTGCATCTGCCTTACTTACCCAGTGACACGCTGCACTGCAGTAATTCCCCCCCCCCTCTCTCTCTCTCTCTCTCTCTCCCCTCCCTCCCTCCCGCTGCAGAGGGTGGGCAACCATCACGTTCGGAGGGCAGAGGGCATGGCAGCGGCAGACCACAGCATCGCTGGACTGGATCTCTGGCGCGCGTTCCAACCGGCCGCGTGACCCCTCCCCTCTCCCTCGCACTCGCACAGGGTTGGGCGGAGGTGACAGAG